GCCTGCCCGGTCCGGGCGTGAGCGCGGCTGATGCTCGGGCAGGACGGGAGCGGCCTTGGGAGCGAAGCCACCAGCCCAGGTCCTGCAGCGCCAGGGCCGTAACCAGCACAGGAGCACCCGTCCCGCCCCGGCCCCGGGTGGGATGGATGGGAGGGCCAGGGCACATTTGTCCCTTGTGCCGGGGGCAGAGGCTGCGTCACCTGGCTGAGCAGCGCTAGCCCACCCTGCTGGTCCCTTCCCTGGACCTTGGCCCTAGGATCTCAGCTGGTCACATTGGCTGTCCTGCCCAGGTCCATCAGACCCCTGTGCCACCACAGGCACTGGATAAGGGACTTTTCTCAAAGGCACAGGCAGCCCCAGCCTACATGGATGGGACTTGCTGGGGTGTGGGATGGAGCAAACGCACCCCATACCACACAGGTTCCTCCAAGAGCTTCCCCCCTGTGGTATCCCCCATCCTCCCTCGTGACAAAGCCGAATGCTGACCCTGGTGTGGGGAACTCATGCTCCAAGTTTTTTTCCCTGGACACCCTGCGCAGCCCTGGCCGTCTCCTGTGGGTGACCCTGAGGGGCAGATGCCCCTCCAGCCCGGAGCAGCAGGGGTGGGAGATGGTGCTCGTGGTCCTCACAGTCAGAGCTGCCCTGGGAAGAGGGGCCTCAGGCCCAGTTTTTTGGCCCCAAATATGTCCTGCAGCCGCCTAGGGGATGCTGTGTCCCTCGTCAGCATGGTGGCAGGGTGAGACCGGGAAGTTGCATATTTGGGAGCGTGTGGCCCATGCAGGGCCCCACCAGTCATGCCTGGGATGTAGATCTGTGAGGAGGGACCGGGCAGGTGGGGACACATCCCGCCGTGCTGTTTGTGTCTCTCTCAGCTTCTTGCCCCCTCCCAGGAGGGCACGGGGGGCTGGGACAGGGACTAGGTGCTTGGGGAAGACCTGTGCTGGGAAGCGGCTGGGCAAGGGGTCTGGGGGGGGGTGGTGCTCTTGGTGGGCAGCCCTTGGGGTGGGCAGCGCTGCCGCTTGGTTCCCCCCTAGCTGTGCTGCTCTTCGCCCCGGCACCTTTCTGCTGGGATCATCCTTTTCGCAGCCCAGCTGTTACATGGCCAGCTCAGGCAGGAGAGGGGTTTTCTTACTGGTGTCGGGACCTATTTTTAACCTGAGCTGTTTACAGCTGCTGGCGGCAGCGATTTGAACAGCACGGGGCCACCC